CAAAAGAAATTGCGCCCACGATTATAAGTGGGTGCGGCAAAAATGTTCAGTACGCCGACACGAAATTGTGCTTACGGATGTGTGGCTAAGGATGGATCGGGAGTGAGAGACCGTGCCACACTAGTGGGGCTACTGCACTGAGTGATTACATGTAGGTGATGTAGGCCTAGCGCATGTAGAGACAGAGTTATTAACAGTAATTTTGCCATGTCCAACAAGTCTAACTTAAGTACAAGTCTTAGACCCTGCATGTCGTGTACATGTTCCTTCATGACCTTAGTCAGTTAGTGAGATATCAGCCTTAATGTGGATGGCAATTATGTAAAGTGATCCCTTTCAACCATACATGTACAAGTGCTGCATTTGAATTGCAGTTGACAAGTTTGATTGACGGCGTTGATACAGACTCTCAAAAATTCTCAATTTCTGAGGTCATAACTTGTCATCTACATGTACATGTAGCTTGCCTTAATTATGCTGCTAATGTCCATATGCAAGTCAGGGAAGAATTCCTCATTGGACCAGTACAGTTTGCGAGTATTGATAAGGCACTGTTTGCTTAGGGGGCACCTGCAAATTTGTACCAGGCCTAAACGAAATTTTGCTGGGCACAGTACTGTTTTGGAAGACTAAAACATTCTTACCATCACAAATCGTAGACAGGTTCTGCACCAATCTTGCCTTGGCATGCTTGGTCTGGTTCTGCATCAATGCAGCAATGCAGCTTCATATTCCAATTGTGGGAATTGGACCACTGTATAATTTCATACGTTTTTCCCTAAAAATCATCCAGAGCCATCAGAAAAAAAGCCAAACTCTGTAATTAGTTGCGGGAGTCAGTTTAGAATATTATCAATAGAAGAATATTCTTCATTTTTTGCTGAGATTCGAACCCAGCTGGGAGCGTGTCATGTGATTTCAAGATGTGCGCAGGTAATGTAATTTAATAACTGTCATTGGCTCACTCATGTATACGGCAGGTTCCTCAAAATAAGGACCATTAGGTAATGTTCGACTTTGAGGGGTTAATTTAATCATTTTTCGTGAACAACAGTGAATTAACTCCCAATGTCAGATGAAATGAGAGAAGTCATGGCTGATATCCGGAACACTCGTGACCATGCCTATCTTTCAACTTACATGTAATTGGAGTTGATTAATTAAAGTCTCAAACATCAGCATTTTGGCCAAATAGAAGTTACCGGGAAGTAATAATCCCCACGGTTACAATGTACATGTATTTTACACAGATTTGTATAGTGTGGTGAAATGTTATATTTACACATATTAAAACGATAATCACAAAATTAAAATATATCTCTCACAAATAATCGGGTCCAGAAGTCGGCAGTTACAATTTTCAGCGGGGCTATTTCCAAAATAAGCGGCAAAATCAACATCGCACATGGAATTTTCAAGCACTACATGTGACCGCGNTACATGTAGGTGATGTAGGCCTAGCGCATGTAGAGACAGAGTTATTAACAGTAATTTTGCCTTGTCCAACAAGTCTAACTTAAGTACAAGTCTTAGACCCTGCATGTCATGTACATGTTCCTTCATGACCTTAGTCAGTTAGTGAGATACCAGCCTTAATGTGGATGGCAATTATGTAAAGTGATCCCTTTCAACCATACATGTACAAGTGCTGCATTTGAATTGCAGTTGACAAGTTTGATTGACGGTGTTGATACAGACTCTCAAAAATTCCCAATTTCTGAGGTCATAACTCGTCATCTACATGTACATGTAGCTTGCCTTAATTATGCTGCTAATGTCCATATAATTTCATACGTTTTTCCCTAAAAATCGTCCAGAGCCATCAGAAAAAAAGCCAAACTCTGTAATTAGTTGAGGGAGTCAGTTTAGAATATTATCAATAGAAGAATATTCTTCATTTTTTGCTGAGATTCGAACCCAGCTGGGAGCGTGTCATGTGATTTCAAGATGTGCGCAGGTAATGTAATTTAATAACTGTCATTGGCTCACTCATGTATGTATACGGCAGGTTCCTCAAAATAAGGACCATTAGGTAATGTTCGACTTTGAGGGGTTAATTTAATCATTTTTCGTGAAGTGAACAACAGTGAATTAACTTCCAATGTCTGATGAAATGAGGGAAGTCATGGCTGATATCTGGAACACCCGTGACCATGCCTATCTTTCAACTTACATGTAATTGGAGTTGATTAATTAAAGTCTCAAACATCAGCATTTTGGCCAAATAAAAGTTACCGGGAAGTAATAATCCCCACGGTTACAATGTATTTTACACAGATTTGTATAGTGTGGTGAAATGTTATATTTACACATATTAAAACGATAATCACAAAATTGAAATATATCTCTCACAAATAATCGGGTCCAGAAGTCGGCAGTTACAATTTTCAGCGGGGCTATTTCCAAAATAAGCGGCAAAATCAACATCGCACATGGAATTTTCAAGCACTACATGTGACCGCANTTTTAGGCGTTGTCGAAAATCATGCATTTTCCGTCAAAATTCTCCGTCATCAAGATTCTGTCAAATAATGACTTTCGCAACGAACATTTTGTACTCGTCTTACATTTCTGATGCAGCCAAACTTAAAGATTATTTTCGGTGGTTGAGAGTTACATGATTTATAAGACCTGGCAGATACATGTATGTTGGTATAGTGAGAGTGATTATAAACGGTAAGAGAATGAAGAGAGCCAAACTTTTCTCATCATTTTCCGTCAATTTTGTGCTTTTTTTGTGGCTTATATTTTTTAAAAATTATTTCTTCGGTGCTTTAAAATGCATCAGTTGAAAAATATACTGGATTCTCCTTCTTGTTGAGAGACGTTTTGAAATCAAGTCCTCTGGTGTAAACTTTGACGTAAAACTTTAAATGAATTCAACTCCATTTGATTTGCACTGGTAGCCAACCAAATGTCCACCAAATGCACTGTACACAGTATGCCTAATTATCTCCAAATAATCATTTTGTAAAATTGAAAGTGCTAAATCGTATTTTACATGATCAAAGTCACTCTTTAAGAAGTTGTGACAATAACATACATGTAGGGAGTTGCATTTTGGTCCATTTGTGAAGAACATGCCATATGCATCATAGAGGGCACTCTCAATGGGTTAATTTTTTTATAATAAATATTATTGTATTACGAGTTTGACTCTCAAAATTGTAATGGTCCAAAATGGAAGATTTCCTGTCCATGACAAAACAATTGCTTATTGGATTGAATGTTGATCAATTCGTATGCTTGCCAACCTTGACATTGATCAACTCATACGCCAACCAAGTTGTACATCAAATTGTACAGTTTGGGGTAATATGACGTTCGCATGGATGTGTGTATTTGTGTTGGATTTTGCCCCAATTTTACATCCATCCACCCACCCCGGTAGAAATACTGTTTGCTGTTGTGTGCATTGGTCATTGATGCGTTTCAACCCTTCTTCGGTCCTTCAAAATCCTCCGGACGGCTTTGGAGGATTTTGGAGGATTGAGGCTGCGTGGAAAAGTTGCATTGCCGATTACAAAGGATGCATTGTGTCAAGGTTATGGGTTAGACCATGTGTTGTTTATGTTAAGCCATGCATAAATTCATATCAACATTTTATTCGAAATCCTCCACACTGCTCCAGGATACCGTTCACACTGCCTCAACATAATCAGAGGAATTGCTAGAGGATTTTGAAGGATTGAGGCCGTGGGCATCCTTCCATGGGACGTACCGGGGTACATGTACATGTATTCAAGAAATATCAGAGGATTTTGGAGGACTGAGGTTGCTCAGTGGGGGGGGGCAGTTGCAGGATTTTGAAGGATTTTGA